GTGTTTATCGACTCTGTTATCGATATTTATCGATTTTGTTATAGATATTTATCGATTTTGTTATAGATATTTATCGATTTGTTATCGTTTTTGCTATCAATATGTATCAATTTTGTTATCGGTATTTATCTATTTTGGTATCGATATCTATCGATTTTGTTATCGATGTTTATCAGTTATGTTATCGATTTTTTATCGATATTTATTCATTGTATTGCCGATATTTATCGATTTTGTTATCGGTATTTATCGATTTGGTTATCGATATTTATCGATTTTCTAATCGATTTTGCTACCGGTGGTGTTATCGATGTTGCCATTAAAATTATTATCGAATATGTTATCGATATTTCTATCGGTTTTCCTATCGATAGTTTGTTGGACGTTATTAACGATTTTGTTATCGATAGAGTATAAAGATATAAATGAAGATAATGGAAAAACAGAATAACATGAATGTCAATTCAACGAACAGGTGTAGAGGGTAGGGGATCTAGATAGAAAAAAGAGAAAAAATATAACCTTAAGCAAAAGCAGATATGTGTATGTATACATTGGTTATGAGACAAAATAAATAAGTAACGTAAGTTTCACGTCTCCAGTGTGGCCCAGGCGCACTTCATTTTTTTATGGTCTTTCGTCTTTCTGTAAACTAAATGATAAACAAGGGTGTTTTTTCTCCGGTTTCTAGAAGTTTCGATAATAAATGGAAAAATAAATTTAGCCCTAGATTTGTGCCCTCAAATTACCCTTAAAAACACCTATTTAAAAATTTTCAATTTGTTCATTTAAAAACTGCAAATTAAAGTTTTTCTTGTTTTATCGTAGAATAAGTTTTTGGTTTCGGTATGGATAGGGTGATCCTGATTTTTCCTTTGACTCGTCTGGTCACCCTAAGTATTGATGCGTTGCTCAAACGTTGCAGTTGTAATTCTTGGAGCTTCACAAAAACGCTTATTGGACGAGATGTAATGATACAATTTCAAAAAAAATGTGAAAGAAAAAATCCCAAATTTAACGTCAGGTTCATTTTTATAAGTGAACAGTGATATTTGCTTATTTTGTGTAAATTTTGAGACTGTAGTAAATTATAAACTAAGAAACTAACCGTGATTTCTGAACTTCCGCGCCAAAATAAATTAATTTTTCCCATAATCTTGATGGAAAAATTTAGCTACTGTTGCTCAATTAAAACTACAGTATTTACATACATACATACATATGTGAATATTACTCTACTCCACACAATGCAGTCAGTTTTTCATATAGCACGTGATATCAAGTCAGCTGCATCCAATTACGAGAGTATAAAGTACCCTAACAGCTTAAGTGATCACCAAACAAATTTTCATAATTATAGCTCCCAAGCACTTTATTTTTGTTGTCATCTTCAGAAGCTCTATCTGCTAATTTTAGGCCTAACGGCACACTGAAATTAAATCAATAAATTAAAATCAATATTTTTGCATTACCACTCCACTTACATAAGTACCAGCCTATTGGTTTTCGCGTGACTTCACTTGAAATTGCGCTAAAATGATGCAAAAAAAAAATGCCTGGTTCAAGTATGCAGATACATAACTGTCAGCGCAATGAAAATGAATGATCAAATCCCTTTGCAATGCAACGAACATACGCACAAAAGTGCATAAAAGCACAGGCGCAGGCGCAGAGGCAGACTTGGTTGGTCAGATGCTTTTATATTAAATTTTAAATGTCCGCATTACTACACCACTTACTCCAGCTACAGACAGTTGCATGTGTGTACAAGGCGACAGACAATGGGTCAGATACCCTCAAAACTGCTGAAAATTCAAAAAAACTATTCTACTATGAAACCTTTACATACGTATGTATGTTTAACTAATATTTTTTTTTTCCATTACCTAAATAGTTTTAGGAAGCTAAAACAAGTTTAGTTATACATGTAGTGAAATAAAAGAAAAAATTAATAAATAATAAATATTTCCACTGTATAAATGGGTTTTATAACTAAGTGGCATTTATATTGTTCCATCATACGAATATTAAAAAAATTATTGAAACTTTTTTAGTTAAACTGAAAGTTTAAAAGTGACCCCTTTAGACCCGTCAGACATCAAGGGTTCAAATAGTTTTTTTACAAAAAGTATTGGGAGTCATATGCCAATCAATAAACACCATCCACTTATTTAGTGAGGCTTTAAAAAAAAAATCTTTTGTTTTTCTGCTACTTTACGAGTTTACTAAATTTGGAATTACTCTCATCCGAGTGATTTTATAGTTTTTTAAGAGCCTTGGAGTGGTTTACAACCTTAGCACGTCGTGACCACTGACTTGTAAGCTACAACATTACGAACCGGAAAATTTCTTGCTTTGGAACTAAAACGTGGAAAGGCAGAACTTTGCCAGGACTTGCAATTTACCCGATACATTCAAGTTTGTCGACAAATTTCGATCATTTGATGCATATCGATAATCCAATGAATTTAAAAACACTAAAATCCGATAAATTTCGATAATGCAATTCGAGGGCTCGATGAATTTCGATGACTCGAATATGTATATATCTGGATATAAATCGATAACTCGATACACTTTGTACACCTCTATAAGCTTATGATAACTTGACAAATATCGATAACTCTTACAATCTGGTAACACGATACTATTCGATAAGCAGTGATAACTTGATAAACTTATATAATTTTGAAAATTCGATTCGAAAAAACTTCGATTCGAAAAATTTCAGAAAATAAATAATAAGTCGAAATAACTCCATGCATTACGATAACTCGATAAATTTTATTTACTCTATAAATGATGTTAATTCAATAAATATCGATAACTGGACAGATTTCGATAAACCCATAATTCTTATAGCTCGATAAATATTCGTAAATTTCGACAACTAAGTTTCTGTGTCTCTAAAAATTTCGACAACTCAATAAGCATTGATCAATTTGAATAACTGGATGCGATAACTCAATAAACATGGAAAACTCGATAAATTTCGATAAGTTTAAATTTCGATGATTCGATAAATTTGGCTGCATTCCAAAACGTCAAAATACAAAGCATCAGTATCTTTTATTTCCAAACCTCAGTAGATTGTAATTCCAAATGTGCGCAACCAAGGTTAGTTGCTAGTTTTCAACTAGGTTGCGCAAATTAGACCTTTTCTCCAAGTGCTGTTTAGAAATAAAAGACACTGATGCTTTGTATTTTGACGTTTTGGAATTCACACTTTCTGTAACTTCATAACTTCCGACAACTAAATTTTTTATGACTGAATTTATTTAGTTTCCTATTGAAAAATTTCAATAAATTTTCTTAACATACATTTACCCTAATTCTTATGCGTTCGTTTTTTGTCTTTATCTTAAATTTTCCACCTTTTTTTAATTGAATTCAATTCAAATTATTTGATAAGCCAAATAAACTATTACAATATGAGAATCCATCGAAATCATCATAACCTTAACTTACCTCATCTCAGCTCAATTCACGATAGGTTAACTCAACTCACCTAACCTCCGCTCAACTCAACTCATCTCACCTTACCTCACCTCACCTCCCCACCCCACCCCATCCTAGCAAACAGACGATCCATTTTGGGAGATCTAACAGCTTAAGTTTATATTAGGGCAGTGACAGCGGTCTCCTGCCCCAGTGTGCGTCATGTGTAAGTACTAGGGTGGTCCAGAAATGCATGTGAAAAAGTAAAGTAAGAATGTTTATGCTCTCACACACTAGGCTTGTTCTATAACGAAAAAATATACCCCTATTTTTTATTTTGAAATCAAAAAATTCCAGAACATGCAATGAGGGGATAAAGAAAAAATCGGTAGTATTAAGAATTTGTTAAATAAACAATTGGGTATTATTATTGGAAGCGTCCGGAGGAGAATCAGAGTTTTCCGAACGATTGAAATATTGATTTTCAAGATTTCGATACCATTTCTACGTAAAGTTGTTTTTTCCCATATTAAGTACATGGAAACCTTTGAGCGCTTTGAGCGATCTCTAATATTTTTTGATTTCAAAATAAAAAATAGTGGTATAGTTTTCCGATATACAACAATCCTAGGGCGCGAGACCATTAAAATTCCGACTTTACTGGTTTTGGACCACCCTAGTAAGTACATATGTACATATGAATGTAGTGTAAGTGAGACGTGACGTGAGGGGCTATCGTTTTTGCTGTTGGCTCACGAGACCAAATTGAATTGCGGCTGTGCGGTTAGTCATATTGTTGTTGATGCTAAACAATTGACTTGATGTACTCACGTGAGAAGAAACATTGGATTCAATTGTTTTTGCGTGATTATGAGCGCGTGCAGAACTGTTGAAATAGCATGCCAAAAAAAAAAACCACCAAAGAAAGCTAAAAATGTAAAGCAACATATAAAAAAGGAATGAGCAAATGCAAAGCGCAAAAATTCCTAGCGCCAATAAAAATTGCATGAACAAATTGCCAACAGCAACAAACCCAACAAACTCAACGTCATAATCGTCGTCATTGAGTGTGCACAGGCAGACAGATAGACAGATAGACAGACAGACAGACAGACAGACAGACACCCCAACAGACAACAGCTAGTGGAGCTGTGGAGCAAAAGTAGACTCCGAACAGAAATCAGAAATAGCCCCGAAGCAGCACAGCAGCAGCAGCAGCAGCAGCAGCAACGACTTGGCGATGATGATGGCGACAGTAAAAGTGAAAAGCCACATACAACAATCAATTAAGGCCAATTACCATTAAAAAGCGACGCCGGAGGATGATGCAGAGTGAAGGTCTGAGAGGAGTAAAGATGGACGTGTGTAGGCGTATAAGCGACGATGTCAAACGAACCAGCACGAGTCGACGAAGTGCCAAACAGCAGCGAACAGCAGTCGTCGTCAGGCACTAGCCACCCTAGCCTCCAGTCGCCAGTTACCAGCTGCTACCATACTGGACCAAAATACCAGATAAATATTAGCGAAAAAATAATCATTTTAAGTCGTTTGAAAACGGCGGCGGTCTACGAGTAAACGCTATTAAAAAGAGAAAAAAATAATAATACCATACCTCAGGCAGGGAGGATACGTGCAGTAAAGTGTGTTACTGCGTGAAGATGTGTGTGTGCGCTTGAGTAGAATCATCGTCCATTCGAAAGGGCAGAAGCCTCAAAGTAATTGAAGCAAATTTACACTTCAGACACTCATTGAAAGTAAACAGCGTATAAAATAACAACAACGAAAAAACAATAATATAAAAACGCTTGCTCGGAGGGGGCACTTAGAGCAAACATACATAGCATGTAGAGTTACGATGAGAAGCGAGAGCTAAGGAGAATCGCGTTGATGGCTAAAAAAGAAATTAAAAGGAATCAAATATCGAAAGCTGTGGGCAAAGCAGGGCAAGAAAAAAAAAAAACGTTTATCATAGCTACTGCACAACAACAACATTAAGCAGCAAAAGCAGCCAGCATCGCAGCATCAGCTGCCACAGAGAACAATGCGTTTAGAGAGAAGAATGCTTATAGCCATAGTCGTCGTAGCCGCAAACTGAGTATGCGCCAAAAAAGTGATTGTGCACAGCGCAACAACGGCAACTACACCGATTTGCCGCCGACAACGATTGTTTTGGCGATGCCTCAAAACAGAGGCAAGTGCCACGATACACACAGAGCATAGATAGATAGCACGCGTGCAGCAATACAGCTAGAGCCAGGCAGTCAACCAGCCAGGAAGCCAGGCAGCCAGGAAGCCAGGCAGCCAGCAAGCAAGTCAACATCCATCCAACGAACCGATGTAGCAGCCAGTTTACAGACAACAGAATAAACCAACGTAACGCACACAGGCGAGCCACACCACCAGCAAATAGAAAACAAAAAGAAAAAAAATCTAACGAAAACACTCATAGCAGACACTTTCACCCGCACCAGCGTTGTGTTTATGGTACTCGTCGTCGTGCTAGTGCTCGTGCTTGTGGTGCAACAATGAGTTATCCCGACAAAGGATAACAGCCCTTGGAACATGTAGTACGTGTACAAAAGCGAGCGAGGTTCAAAACCTATTACTCGTACCCCGTACAACAACAAAACCACATAACAGCTGCTCTTGCACTGTGGAATAAAGTGGGGTAAGTGTTGAGTCAAAAAGTAGTGAAGTAGTGAAGACAGTTAACTACATATTTATTCGGAAGGAGTGGAGAGTAAAGTACGCGTAAATATATTAACAAGTGACTAAGTGAAATATGTGCAAAAATGGAATGCCTTAAAATAAAACCGGGACATAAATTTTTGGTCATTTAAAAACTGGACATAATTGTTTTATAATATGAAAAGTAGGCATAAGTGTTTGGCCATTTTAAGAATAAACATGTAATTTATAAGTGGACATAAATAATTGCGTTATTTAAAAACTGGGTATAAATTTTTGGTTATTCAAAAAATAGACATGCATTTTTTTTGTTTTTTGACATACATTTTTTGGACATAAATGTTTGGACATTTAAAAACTAGATACTTATTCCTTTCCATATTGGACATAAATTTTGGTATTTTTTTTTTTTTTTTGTAATTTTATGGCCTTATAACAATTATATTCAACAATTTTTATTGAGCTTGAGGTCGTAATTTTGGTAATTTAAAAACTCGTTATAAATTTTAGGTAATATATAAAAATTAAGGTAATAAAAAATAGGCATATTTTCGGCAGTAAATTTTTGGTCATTAAAAAACTATACATGAATTTTTAGCAATCCAAAATTTAATTTAAATTTTTGGTAATTTAAAAACTAAAAATTTTTGATGATTTAAAAATTTACATTAATTTTTGGTAATATATAAGAGCAGGACATACATTTTTCATATACAAAAACTTAACACGAATTTTTTTATCACTAAAAACCGGTAACGAATTTCGATCATTCAAAATCTGGACATAAATTCTGTGGTCATAAGCAATAATCGCCTAAGTCGAAAAACCTGAATTCGAGAAAAAGCGCTTTAAAGATTTGGGTTGTAATGTTAACCTTATGGGGAAACCAAAAGACTTTCATTTATAACTTTTTAAATAGAATAGGTAACGAGATGGGAGTTTCACGTAGACATGGAATAATAGTTGCAGAAAACGATAGCATATATAACTCAATTCTTTCTTAAGTCAACTTAGGCGGTTATTGCTCACGACCACAGAATTCTATACAAAAAATAAATCAAGTACACAAATTACTAATTTTTTCATTGTCACTTGAAAAAATTATAATTGTTTTTTTTTTTTATTAATAACTTTGGGAAGTTTTCAAATAGCATGTTCATATTCGAGGCAATGGATGCTGGCATCATATACAACATGTGATGTGAAGTTTCAAAAGTGTGCCACGAAATTTAAAAAAATTAAAGCATGCAGAATGTATGTCACAGCTATTTTTTAGTTTTTGAAGTTTTCCGATTTTTAATTTTAATAATTCAAGATACTTCAAAATGTTAAAATTAAACGGCCAAAGGGAATGTATCTGATCAAATAAAACTAGTGTGTCATTTGTCGTACAAAAATTTCGGCCTCTTACAAATTCCATTAGCATCCTTTAAAACTTTTGAATTTAAAAAACCTTCAATTTCAATAGAATTTCTGCGCAATATTTACTTAGCTGCGTTCCATTGTCCCCCATGCCATGAGGCGAAAACTGTGAAAATAACAATAACAACAAAAAAAAATCAACTAAAATTGCGCCAGCATCAGGAGCAGGCACGACACAGCAGCAAGAGCACAGAAACAGAGTAAAAGGAGAGCATAATAACAGAAGAAGAAGAAGAAGAGCAAGCATGAGTGGGAGCACAAATACGGCGCAGAGTCAATGGCAGCGTTGCTGACAGCAACGGCGAGGACGAGGACGTCGGCGGCAACCACGATTCAATCGAAATCCTTGTAAGTGAACAAATCTTAACGCAATTAGAGAAGACGAACGCTTGGTCGCGCCGACACGGAACGGCGGTGCTGCTGCGATTTGCTATTTAACTTTGGTACATTGGAGTATTTGATGTGCAAGTTGCAAGTGGAAAAAAATATATGTGCAAAAAAATCTGTGCAAGTAAAAAGTGAAAAAAAGAAAAAAAAATTTAAAGTTAAGCAAATTTGTTTACAACAACAAAGCCAGCAAAAGCGCGATTCATAAAAGTGTATCGAGTGCTGACAATGAAAAATCAAGACGAAAAAGAAATTTAAAAATTAAAAAACAAAGTTACAAAACTTAAACTGAAACCAAACAACGTTATTGCAAAAAAAAAAAAACAAAAAAAAAATTAAAAGATATTGCTAAAAAAATACTTGCAACACAACATTGTTGAAGAAAATATTGCGCTGATTGCCAGCTATGCAGAAAAAGTTTGTAACTTAATACAGGCAATAAGGCATTAATTGTGTGAAAATCCGAAACCAGAGTGTTAAGCACAAATGGCGAAAATAACGAGGCTAATATTGGCGTTTATGCGTTGGAAGTAATAAAGAAAGGTGAAAACAAAACGACTATCTTAACGGTAATATGGCATGCGAAAAAAAAAACACGAATGCACTTTATGCTGATAGGATGCTAATAAAAATCCCAGATCCCTATTTTAGATGCTAAAAAGTCAAAATGAAGTACCCACACATAAACGCACACGCACACGCAAAAACACAGCACTATACAGAATTCAATAGAACACTTACTTTGTTATCTCTTTGATGAAAAGGAACAAAAAGAAAACTTGCACTGGAAAATTCCCCACAGCATTAAAATGAGCAGAAGAAGCAGACGAAGAAGAAAAACGAAATTCGATGCAAAAAAGTGAAAGGGCATCAACGCCCAAAAAGATGCTATACATTTTCTCGCAGCATTACTTTTTCCCAACAGCAAACACACGCACATTTATGTACATACATACATATGTATGCATGCACATACGCACACACACGCACACATGCGTATCTACGCACGTACAGTCACAGCTTCCGAAGCTGACGTTGCCGCTGCCAATGTGACTACCATGGATGGTTGTGTTGTTTGTGCTTGCTGGCTTTGCCCTGGCTCGTTGCCATTTTCCCGCTGTGGCTGTTTCTGTTGAAAAAGTTGAAAAATAAAAATAAAAAAAAAACCAAACAAAGAAGCCCCCGCTGTCGTGCTCTCGTTACCGTTACTGTTGCCATTAGCCATTTGCCACTAACATTTCGATACAATGTATTTGCTTTTGTTTTTGTGTTTGTGCATGCGTTTGTGCAGTGTTGCTGTTGCCATTTCCGCTTTGCGATAGAGACACAATTCGTTGGATCGGTTGGTGGGTCGGTCGGTTAGTCGTTCGGTCTGTCGACGCGTAACGCTGCTCTCGGCTCGTTGGGGGCTGTTCATCATGGCCTAGCACAGCAGGCGGCTAGCTAAGTCTATTCATATATGTATGTATAAGCATGTATGTATGCACATATATGTATGTACACACATAATTGTAGAAAGCAAGCAAGGGTTGGACTGGCTGCCTGGCTGGTTGCCGCACTGCGGGTGTAGTTGAGGGCCTACCATATGTACATATGTAGGTAGCTTTGAAGGAGTCTGGATCAGCCTCAAAGTGTCAGAGTTGGCGTTGTTGATGTTTTTCACGCTGCTAAGAAGCGTTTGTCTACATAGCCTGCAGCAGAGTTAGCAGTACGCGATTGGCAGCAACGTTGCCACTGTTGTAAATTTTAAACTAAAAAATAAAAATACGAAAAACCTCATGCACTTCACATGTTTATATAAACTTTGTAGGACTTTTCATTTGTAAGTGCCCTTTGCCTTTGAATGGTTAAATGGAGTCGGTGACTGGAGTTTAACTTTTTTGCATACCCACATATAATTCTTCGCCTGCCATCTGTTGGCATTACAGTCGTTCAAAAATTATCATTTTCTCCATTTGCATAAAAGTGCTGGAAAAAAATAATAAAAGTTTGCTGGGCACTGATAAAACTTTGAAGTGCTGAAAATCTGGGTTAACAATAACAGTACCATTACTATTATCACCCCTTTACAATTATCACCCTACTCGAATTAAATTCTCTTCTCTTTTTTTTTTTAAATTTGCCTTTATTGGCTTGAGCTCTTCAGCAACAAAAACTTTTTTTCCACGAAGATCTTTTTTCAAATTTGGGAATAAAAAGTAATCACTAGAGGCCAGGTCTATGGTATACGTTGGGTGATTGATTTCTTCGAAGCCACAATCGCGTACAGCGGCACTCGAAACACGCGCTATGCGAGTCAATTTTTTTTATCATCTCCATTAAAAATACGGTCCAAAATACTCGTTGAATTTTTCCCACAGAGCTCCAACAAATTTATGCAGCACTTCAATCGCACTTGTTTTTGTAGTGTCGTAAGCTTTCGCGGTAGAGATGCCAGATCGAAATTAAAAAAAAAATCGATTTTTGAATCGATTCGAATCGAAATAAAAATAATCGATGGACAAAGAACTACATATATTTTGCCAAAAAAGCACATTTTACTTAATTTTCTTAAAGTAAAGTAAAAAAATACGGCCCTCTGATCAACGCTGAAATTACAAACATTATTGTAAGCATGTTATAAAACATGCCTCGCTATGACGGTTTCAATATCAAGATTTATCCAAAAGCTACCAGGTAGCTAACAATCCGTAAATACATAGCAACAAAATTTAGCAGGTTTTTCTATATTATGACAACAATATAAACATTCAAGAGAAACTTCATAGATTCTTAGCACTGATAAGGAAAATTGTAAATTTTTTTCGAATTTTCGTTTTTATTTATCACAAAAAAGAAAAAATGTTGCTACTTAAAAAAATGTATTATACATTAATACACTAGCCCAATAGAGATTTTTTCGCAATACAGATTTTTAATTTTTATTATTTTTTTTTGTTTTCTAGAATATGAATATTGTTATTAGGCCAAAAAATAGCCAAAACGATTTGTTTTTTTTTTTTGTTTTCGCTAACTGCATTATTTCTCTCCATAATTACCCTTTTTAGAAAAAATTAAGTATGCAGTTTTTAGCGCATTTTCTTCTATATAAAGTATGCTTGACAAAATTTTCATAGCAATAAAAAATTGCATGCACTTTATTATACTAAAATTGAATGGGCTACAAAACTG